AATAGTATTTAATAGTATTTAATTTTTGTCAGATACTATTAAATACTATTTTTTTAATGCTTATCTCTTAAAGTATCTGATATCTGTATGCAGGAACGTATGGATTAGATATAGCAAGAATCTAATAACAGTACGTTTTAAAAGAGAAACTGTTTATTTACTAATAATAATTGACGCAATAAAATTTATTTATTTAAGATATATGCACTTACAATAGATAAAACTTTATAAGAAATATCAATCAAATAAAAGAATCCTTTAATTCGCACAACTTCATCACAATAGCTGGAAAGAACTCAAGTTTAGCTATAAAATTGTTTTATTTGATTCCACAACAATTGTTTCAACTCACAGTGGTGTCTTCGGTTGGACGAAATTCGGTAAACAATTATAAATACAAAACAGGTTCTGTCTTATTCCTTTTAGGAATCATGGGAATGGGTAGGTGGTGGTTAGGGGTAAGAAAGATGAAACGGACGAAATGAAGAGAGACGAGAGGCCAAAAGATTAAATGGTCCAACAAATCAAATCATAAAAAAGTTCGGACCAGAGCAAAGGCATGGTCATTTTTTTATTTTTATAATATTTTCAGCCCTTAAATTGGCTGGACACGTACCTCCACTTCTTGCCATCTTGAGCCAAAGAGTACGAAAAACAACTTTACCTCCCCATATAAGAGAGCAAACTTCCCCATTACTCAAATGTACTCTACCACTTCCATCAGCATAAAGCATTGAATTTAGATGGGTACGTGAGCTAGCTAAGGTTGAAAGAGACAACTTTAATTTTTGATTCATTTTAATTTAATTAATTTTTTTATGTTCTTTAATTCTGTCTTTGAAAGATCATTCAGTTTATCCTATTTATACTTTATTACAATGCTTGCAATTTAGCAAGTGGATACCTGATCTAACAAATCATTGTCAGATGTGTTTCACTTGATTGTGAAATCAATAAAAGCATTATTTTAACTAAAATTTGTATTATTTAATATCTTTGTAACAATCGTGCATTAAATGACAACTAAACGTCTATCCATTTAAACAGGCATTAATACCGCTTGACGCCATTTGCTCAATAAATAAATAATTGACTATTCTAAACATTTATGCGTAACCCCTATTGTTTCCGTTCGTCTGACATTGGGTCGAGGCCTACAGTTTGTCGAACTCTTCATTCCATTATTATTGAATTTTAATTTTACATCATCAAGCCAGTTAGTTTTCATGACTTCGTAATTTTATGAACATTACTACCATACAGACGAGAACAGCAAGAAAGTTGCTAATGATTATCAATTAATTAATAGCAAGTGCTTACCTTCAATTGCTTACTGGGGGATTAAATAGGAAAATCAAATTTTGAAAGATCCAGTCCTTCATTTACGGTCAATATTGCAACACATTATCAAAAGTTTCGTTACGGTGTTTTTATTTTTTTATAATGGTGCTTATAATGGTGGAATTGACAACAATATTGTCTAAAATGATTTTTCGACATTTGAATTTTGAAACTAAGATAAAATGGGTAAACAGTATCAGCATAATATTGATACATTTGTTGGCAATCTTAGGCTTTTTCACATTTGACTACATTACTAAATGGAGAACTTTTTTGTGGGGTAAGTCTATTTTCTTTTTTTTCGTTTTATTGTAACTTATTAATAATCGTCACTCACAAGCAGTAAAGCACTAAAATATTTGTTATATCTATTAATTATTCATTGCAATTTAACCATTTACAACATGCCATTCCGGTAATAAATTAATTTACTTTTGACTATGTAAGAACAGATAATAAATATAGCATAGTAATTAATATTATTATAACATTTGAGATGCAAAAGTACATTAATTCTTTTTGGATTAAAAAAATTTAAACAAAGGAGTCGTTATCTAAATTTCAACTGAAAATTAGTACCTAGATACTTATTTTTATAACTCAAAATACTTCAGAGTCCGTAATTACTTAATACAATTCGTTTTTTCTCGACTTAAGCCTACTTTTGTTGCATTTTAGAATTGTATTAGAAAAAATCTCAAATTTTATGAATGTATTGTGCAGGTTTGTTCGTTGGTGGATTGGGAGGATTCGGAGTCACAGCTGGGGCTCATAGACTCTGGTCTCATCGATCTTACAAAGCAAAGTTACCACTACGGATTTTTTTAATGCTTTGTTTCTCAATAGCTGGACAGGTATTGTTTTTAAATAAATTAATTAACGAAAAATATTCTCCTTCAATTATTATTTACGAGAATCCAATTTGCATTTCGTCTTACTTTTTTTATCAAGAAGTTACTAATAAAAAATAAATAGCTAATCAGAATAGCAGTGCATTGTGACTGGTTGTTTACTTGAATTTTGAACTGTTGTAGACAAAATATTGTTCTAATGAATAAAAATAACTTTAACGGTGATTAGAAAAGACTCCAAATATAACAAAATGTAGTACGAGACTTACTAAAATTGTGTGAANGTGTGCACAGTTTCTCCCACGTTTGACTTCACACTTTGTTTTATATTGTGCTAAAGATCCATTAAAGGTTATCATGAGACCTTATTACGAGGTGCAATTTTGTCATTGAAATAAAAAAATTCTTCAAACTTATCAATTTGAATGTTATGAGTCACGTTTTTTCCTCGTTTGTTTATTATTTTGGCTTCGTCGTCTTCTTGAGTCAGTCACATTCACATTAATTTTGTTTATAAAAATTTTGTTGCAGAATAACCTGTACAACTGGGTCAGAGATCACAGGGTTCATCATAAATTCAGCGAAACTGTCGCAGATCCACATAACGCTAACAGGGGCTTCTTTTTCTCGCACGTTGGGTGGCTTATGATGAAAAAACACCCTCAAGTAATAGAAAAAGGGAAGAAAATTAATATGGACGACTTATTCGAGGATCCGGTTGCGGCATTTCTTATTAGGTGAAAATCGTTGAACAAATATTACTTCTTTTCTTTTACCAATTACCATACAATTATCTAACAAGTACCTAGTGCAGAACACTTGACTCCTAGTATTTGACGCCTCAGTAGATAGGCTACCTTCGTTCTGCCTCAAAATCCCATGTATTTTTTTTGTGAAGGTTTATTTTTCGGCTTTTTCTACCGTTTTATCCCCTCCACTTCTACTCTGACGTCACGACCGTCAGCTATCTTTGACAACTGTCATTGTCAGCCAGGGCTTCGCCTCGCTCCTTCTGCAGGAGACCCAGCTCCCTGAGGCCCCTTCATCTGTTGTTTCAAAGGATCAAAAGCTGCTGCGACCCGCAATACTTCATCCGTATCCGTCGCCCCACGGCTGTGACGTCAGAGTAAGAGTGGAGGGGGTAATAACCTTAACCTTTCTAAGAAAATACATGGGATTTTGAGGCACAACGATGGTACCCTATCTGCTACCGTAATAAACGTTTTAAACTAAAAATCGTAAGGTTTAATTCAAATTAACGAATTACCTACCAATTTTATAATAAACGAGTAATATTGAATTTTGTATTTACTAGGAATTTCTGGTGGTTGAAACTAATGATGTGTTTCTTTGCTCCATCGGTTGTACCTCACGTATTTTGGGGTGAAACTTGGTACTGGTCAGTGTACTCTCAAGCTGTATGCCGTTATGTATTGAACCTGAATTTCACTTGGTTGGTAAACAGCATTGCCCATATGTGGGGCAATAGGCCCTACGATAAGTAAGTATTTTATTTTGAAACATTTTCATCATTATCATCATCATACGGTCGTCAGTCCGCACGCACTTCCACTCTTTCCTATCCTGGGCTAATCTTTGCATTTCCCTAAAACTATTAGAAGATCCTACATTTTACTAGAATGTTATCTTTATCCTGGCAAACTGTTACTAACTGTTTCAAGTTGAAGAAATTGAGTTATATAATCATAGGTGAAGTTTGAAATGTTTAAGTCCATTATTTTGGCATACAATCTAGTGAATTATCGAAAGTATTCGGATTCGTTGCTAGTTGACGAGTTTCAAATTTCAAAAGATTAAATCTAACTGAATTTAACTTTTTAGAAGTATTGAGTATATATGGGGCAATAGGCCCTATGACCATCCTCATCATAAGGTCGTCAGTCCTAAGATTGGTTGAACACGCACCTCCACTCTTTCCTATTCTGAGTTAATCTTCGTATTTCCCTAAAACTATTAGAAGATCCTACATTTTACTAGAATGTTATCTTTAGCCTGGTAAACTGTTACTAACTGTTTCAAGTTGAAGAAATCGAGTTACATCATCATAGGTTAAGTTTAAATTGTTAGGTCCATTATTTTGGCATACAATCTAGTGAATTATCGAAAGTATTCGGATTCGTCGCCAGTTGACGAATTTCAAATTTCAAAAGATCAAATCTAACTGAATTTAACTTTTTAGAAACATTGACTATATGTGGGGCAATAGGCCCTATGATCATCCTCATCATAAGGTCGTCAGTCCTAAGATTGGTTGAACACGCACCTCCACTCTTTCCTATTCTGAGCTAATCATTACATTTCCTTAAAACCAGAAGATCCCACATTTTATTAGAACGTTATTTTTGTTCTGGTAAACTGTTACTAACGGTTTCAAGTTGAAGAAATCGAAATATGAAGATTGGAAAAACTTTGGCGGTTGTTGTAGAACAAACAGAAAAGCTCAAAACTCCAACGCCAAAACACGACACTGTAGTTGTCCGAAGCACTTTTCGGTAATAAAGTTACCTTCTTCAGGGACTGAAGAGTTTACTTCTTGTTACCGAAAAGTGCTTCGGACAACTACAGTGTCGTGTTTTGGCGTTGGGGTTTTGAGCTTTTCTGTTTGTTCTTGAAGAAATCGAGTTAAATAGGTGAAGTTTGAATTGTTAGGTCCATTATTTTGGCATACAATCTAATAAATTATCGAAAGTATTCGGAATCGTTGCTATTTGACGAGTTTTAAATTTCAAAAGATCTAATCTAACTGAATTTAACTTTTTAGAGCTATTAGCCCTTCCGAAAACTTCGTTGTTTCCCTTTTATCGATTGGCGAAGGATGGCACAATTATCACCACACGTTCCCTTGGGATTACAGAGCAGCAGAATTAGGAAAATTCAGTGTAACAACCTTTTGGCTAAATTTATTTGCTAAAATTGGATGGGCCTATGATCTCAAAATACCCTCAGACAATTTAGTGAGAATGATAGCTGAAAATCGGGGAGACGGGACTTATGTAGCCAATAATCATTTAGCCCATGCAGAAATACACGATTTGGACATTAATGGAAACATAAGGCTAAGAAGAACTTGAAAATGGGCAAAATATTCTTAGAGAGAAAAAAATTGGCAAACATAGAATGATACTACGTTGCTATTTTTTTATAAAAAAAAGAACCTGTGTTCAACTAAAACTAGTCATAAATGTTAAGATGTAAGGAAGCAGCTTTGACTTACGATTTTAAAAATGTAGAAAACTTTTTTATAAAAAGACTGTATATTGTATAAGTATTGTTGTTATCATAAATGCATCGAGTAGTTATAGGTAGGCGTTTCTTGTTTTGTCGAAGAAATGATTTCATTTTTCAATTATTTTCTGACGTTCTTTCATTATGTAGTAACATATTTACATAACAGTTAAATTGTCTAACATTAAGTAGTTGTACGTAATATGTAATGTATAAACATTAGGCATTAAAATTCTTGTATACGAACATGTTCTTGAAGAACTTAATAGTTAATGTTAAACATTAAACTGAAATTAACTTTCAACCGTCTACATATTATCTCAAATTAATGGAGAAAAATTGTAACCCCCGTCACGCCCCCGCCGGGAATCGAACCCGGTACTGTACTACTTGTGCGTAAAACCACGGGGTGCGGGTTCTATTAACGATCCTACGTGGTAGGCGAAACGTACAAAAACGTACTGTTCGTTTCAAGAAGTTAGAGATATGCCCCTTCCTTTTATTAGGATGCGCCGTGGCATAATTCCAATTCAATCATATTTGTCTGCGGAGATCATTTCTCCACCGACCATCGAGCGAGAACTAGACAAAAGTGTACAGTACCATTTGCAAAATTATTTAAACCGTCTCGTTAAAATTTAAGAATATGCTTCATTTAAAAGCATATTTAGCCAAAAATAATAACAAGTGAGTTAACTTAACGTTCTACACACCTATAAAACTTTTGCTTTGTTTTCTATTGTTAATTTATATACATGTTTGTTTTAAGAAATTGCTAAACATTTTCGTCTAGTACTGTACATTTCTAGCCGATCTCCTAAGCCCGCCCATCGAGAGCTCTGCTCGTTCAAGCTTGTTCCAACTATTTCTGTCTTGCTCACAACTAGTGTGTATTCTTTCTATCTTCGCGCAGATTTTTTCAAGGTCACAATTCTAACAAATTGAAATAGACTGTACGTGTGCGTTTTTTTTAATGTGGAAATTTCATTATCAGTAAAATTTTTCTAATGATTTAAATAAATAAACGGCTAACGCCTTTGTAAATGTTTTTTCTGAAAAATTGTACCTACGTATTACTTGTTATAACAGTTTAAAAAACAAACTTAAAAAAAATCAAGGTTCAGTTGTGCTTACTCACGTCATTGTCACAACGCCGTATTTCTTTTACAGAACAAAATAGACAATTAAAAGATAAAAAAAAATCCTTACCTGAGACTATACATTATATGCGTGTAAACATTTAATTAAATGCGAGATTGAATTAATTTATTGTTAATGTTCCTCGACAGTATTATTACCTACAACGTTTAAAAATGAAAGTCAGAATGGGAATAATAATAAATTAAATTCTCGACTGATAAATGGAAAAAACAATAAAATATGCTGTAGTGTAATTATTATGCCATGTCTAATGGTTTTTACAATTGTATGTAGACAGTATGTTTTCAGGACGAGTTACAGCAAGGGTGTTCGCTGAAAGTTAGAATAAAGGTAGTGTTTTCTGTGTTATATAAATGTTTATATCTTTAACATCTTCTCGTTGTTCGCGACGGTATACCTGTTTGAAAAGTTAAGTTCGTTTGTTGCAATAAGTACTGTAGATAAGGTTATTTCTAGGTAGGTTTTTGTTAATACTGTATGTATCTAAAAAGAAAAAAATATATCAACTGTAAAACCTACTTTGAAAAAACATATCCAAGGCCCTATACCCTATCTGGCTTTGATTCGACACTTCCCAATGTAAGTAACATAATTTATACTTGTAGGAATTGTAAAGGATATTGGAATGAAGCTAGTCACAAAATGTAGAGGATAAGGGGAAGTTATATACAAAGTCTACGAAGTTTTTTTGTTATTGCTTACTATCCTAATCCTTTACATATTATGACCAGCCTTACGTCAATATCCATTAAAATTCTAATAAATATATAGGGTTGTTTTTTTTTTTTTTT